TAGAAACTTGTATACTGAAGAAATCTGGATCATATAAAATTTTCCTCTTTTTTTTTTTTTTTCAACGTTTATTTATTTTTGGGACAGAGAGAGACAGAGCATGAACGAGGGAGGGGCAGAGAGAGAGGGAGACACAGAATCGGAAACAGGCTCCAGGCTCTGAGCCATCAGCCCAGAGCCCGACGCGGGGCTCGAACTCACAGACCGCGAGATCGTGACCTGGCTGAAGTCGGACGCTTAACCGACTGCGCCACCCAGGCGCCCCAATTTCCTCTTTTTTTAAAAAAACATTTATTTACTTTGGGTGGGGGAAGGCCAGAGAGAGAGGTAGAGTGAGAATCCCAAGCAGGCTCTGCACTGTCAGCGCTGAGCCTGATGCAGGGCTTGAACTCATGAACTGTGAGACCATGACCTGAGACAAAATCAAGAGTCTGATGCTTAACCGACTGAGCCACCCAGGCATCCCAGCCTCTTTTCTATTTTACTTTTCATTAAAACGCATTATTCAGTTATTTGGATTATGGGAGGGCATGTTTTGACTTGGTTTGATTGTGTGTGTGTGTGTGTGTGTGTGTGTGTGTGTGTGTGTGTGTGAGAGAGACAGAGAGAACACACTATTGTATGTACACATAATTTTGATTTGCATTTAACAAAGTCTAGGAAGGAAGATGAAGCAGGAAGCAAACGTGAAAAAAATGTTCAGCCTCACTAGGCATCATTATATATTTAAAACTAGCAACAGTTTAAAATGAGAACATCCAATGTATATACAATTCTAGAGATGGTAACGATATTATATACAATTCTAGAGATGGTAACGATATATTGCTGACTGTGATGTAAACAGAAAATATTTTTAGGAAGTAACTTTGTAATAGGTCTCAAGAATTTTAAAAGATCATTACCTATGACCTAGTCGTATTATTGCTTGGAAATTATGTATGCTGTGTCCGTGTAAAAGGAGAAAGAAAGCATGAAAATAAGAATTTTAACATTATTTATATAATGAAAAATTGAGTATAATCTGTCTGATCCTAGAGAAATGGTTAAGTAAATTATGGTAAATGCAGTTCAGTAATGTTATGCAACCATTAAAGGCAATTGTTATAAAGACTATGTAGCAACATGGAACATGTTTATGATATAATTTAAAAATTTTAAAAGGCCAATTATGCGGATAGGGGCATGAAAAAGCTTGCAAAAGTGAAAATGGTTGGCCAGAGTGAATTTTTTTAAATTCCAGCATTGTTATACTCTGAGTTTTGTACCAAAAATTGGAAAATTCTAGGGAGGTTTGACGTGCTTTGGAAAGAGGCTACTGAGTGGAGTGGAATTGAGGTCCCTTCCTCTACAAATATTCTATACTTTTTGTCACCATTGTGTTGTGAAGGCTCAGAAGGTACTAGGTTTCATTATGCTACTAGAGCAAAGGCTTCATTATGCTACTAGGGCTAGTCCGGGGCAGGGGTGTCTGGTGCTGCACCCCAGCAAGAACATTTGGCATGTTGTCCCAGGAGGTGGGGAGAGAGTCATTGTCAGGGTGTGGGGCCCAGGACATGGGTTGGGGGTAACTACTGGGATAAAGCACCCTCTAAAACTACCCCCACCTGTAGGTTTACACCAGAGAATTTGGATTCAAATGAAATTTAAGATAGCAAGTGATTTTAGAGAGTGACAAAATGGGCTAAAACCATATAATTGGAGAAATGTTGTGAGAGAGAACATTACAAAGCTTTGCCTTGGTCTTAGGAGGGGAATTTGGGGTGACTGTGTGTACATGTGCATCAGGGTGTTTTTCTCCCCTCATGAATCAATTAGTAGCACTTCCGTTTCTCCCCTCAGTGCCCACTTGTTGGGGCTGCGCTTGGGGTGGCTGAGATCACTCTACTGGGGGGGGGG